CCAAAGATGAACTGGGAAGACGAATGCCTCACTATCACACGTGACCTTGCGCCCTACTTCAAAATGATATTTGGACTCTGTGGGGTGTCTTGCTCGCGACCCCACGTGAACAACGCGCGGGCCAGTCCCACTCGTAACATCACGGTGAGTAGCCTTTCTGTTCAATATGGTGCCTATTTAAAAGTTTAATCTCCATTAATGTTTTAGCCTTTTTTCCACCGAATAATTAAAGTATTCTAATACAAAATACGTCCAGGTTATGAGGAAGGCGAAGTCGCCAAAACGTCAGCCATCGACCAACAGCACCAACATAAACGACAACGACAATGAAGACCTATACCAACCTCGCATCAGCTGAAGAAGATTGGTTTATAAGATCATATAAATAAATATATCAACTATCTGTGCCGAGGTTCATAGAAAGTCGATCTTTTGAATGCTGAGTGTTCTTTAGAAGCTCTTCACATAGGTTATCCTGTCCAGCATATCAAGGACTTTAGATAACGCATTACCAGTTGAGCAGGCAACATTCCAACAGGGGTTCTGCTATATGGACATCACTGCAACCGTGTATTGTTTCATGGAAGTTCGCCGAGAATACCCACCTAAGTTGTAGAGCAGAATGAGAGCAGCACTGGCTGTGCTACAACCTCTTAGAAAAGCCACTAACCAACTAAGTGACCTGAATCTCTGCGCCTACCTTTTCTACACAATCGTCTTCGCATTGTTAAGTATAAGATTCCAGCTAATAATTCAACCACGTGAAAAAAGTCTCATAACTGCTCAGAAAGAGGTATGAACAATGTCTTCTGAAATGTAATCTGCATACACAACATATAGCCGGATTACGCAGCTCAGATCCTCGAAACCTATCCTATCTTGGGGATTAGAGTGTACAACGATAGCGAAACATAGATGGGTCGATCACATCGTAAGAAGTACAGATGAAAAATAGACGTAGTACTGCCTAGTGGACTCCAACAGTATGCGAAGGTCCTTTCGGACGACCAGAAGGCCATCTAGACGATGTCCAGAAGTGTTCGTTATTCAGGTGTCCGTTGTTCGTTTTTCATATGAGTTTGCAGGCAGAGATGACCACAGAATACTTCCCACGGGAGTCACCATATTAACAGTCGACCACCATCTTGGACGACGATCGCGAAGGAAAGAGAAGGCTTGGTAATACGCTGCTCTGTGGACCATAGTCTTTGTAAAGACGGGCCGTTCGGATACAAAAGTAAAGCCCTATACGGTTCCTAAACCATCAACTGTATAAAAGAGACCCTCGGGTTTGTGTTAAATAGGCGAGCGTAACCACGGTTCTAGCTAAGTGCGTAGTGCTAATAGCGAAGTGGTTTGTATCACAAGCTTGTAATCGAACACTGCTCCAATTCAATCTCCTAGTGTAGTTTTTCCTTTCGCCCAAATACGGATTCGTTTTTACCTCTATTCACCACTTATCCTTTCACACAGCTTTATCCCTAGGTACTGCTGGTGTACGTTATCTTCCTATTGGTACCAAACTACTATACAATATTACTTAATTGTTCTTCAAAAGGTGCATCAAACTCCTAATCAGCCGTGAATTGTCGACTCGGATTAACGCGGCTCTGAAGAATGCAAAGGCAATCAAACGTCAGCCGAATAAAACTTTTATACCAGCGTCGTATCAGCTCAGTCATATAGAAGAAGATTGATTATCGTCATCGAGGTCCAACGGAAGTTGATTTTAAGATATACACTCCTTATTGGTTGACGATCGTGGCAACATGACAACTTGTACCTTCTAGTCTGATCGACCTACTATGTGCCGGTCTATCCATTTCATTTTTCTCACTGGGCTGCTCTGTCTTCCACGTGTCCTTCATCCAACGTGAACTAGTTCCTCGAACGACAGCTAACGTTTGTTACGCAAGAATCCCGCCCTCTGGGAAACCGGTCTACGAGGTTTCGTTTCAAACTAACCTCTCATGGAACAATTCAGATTCTTCGTTTCAACGTTTTGCACCTCTTCTATAAGGAAATCTCACAAAAAATGACTGCGTCCAGGAAGGTATTCCAAGGCGGACCATCTCATTGGATTGTCGCTTTCGCTACAATGTTTATTATATTACCCCACTCACGCTTTCAAATTGGGATAGATTTTCTTTGTTTTCCACAACCTCCACAAGATGGACAGTATCGTTGTACAAGTTTGTATTCATATTAAGTTACAGACTTTTGTAAATTCTGATATTTCTAATAAAATGACGTATCGAATAGCGCCTTTGCAAATAGTCTATGATTTTCATGACAATTACCTCTATGAGAATCATCCATGATTCGTGTTGAAGGTAAAATAAATATGTATATAAATAATTTGTCGATTAGGGGTTAAGTGAGAGGTGGTTCACTTCTAGCAAATTATCACAGATTGACTATGAACTGGATCTTTCCCGGATCTGCACCTTTAGCGACGACGTTGTCGCTTTTCCTTTACACAGGACGGCATAGACGTACCCAGCTGCTGACCCAGTCAGGCTGTTCGCATTCTCTCTGCTTAGTGTTGCTTATGATCGGCATCTATTCATCATCAGAACGGCCGAAAGCTTTCCACGATTCGCTTACTTTCTGGCTATGTCTCTTGTCGCTCTGTGAAAGATTCCGAAATCTGTGTGTGTCCTAATCGAATTTTTTCACACTGTATTACATCTCTGCACACATTCGGTTGCCTTCGGCATAGGGTGTCATCCATAACTCGTTCTTCCTTGTTTTTTACGATTCACAATGATTTTCCTCTACGAAGATTCTGGTTGGTGTTTGTGTTCGTATTCTAGCAACTGCAGCCAACCTGAACCCATTCACTTTACCCAGCCAAGTTAAAGTGGTGCCCAGCAAAATCTTAAGCTTTTCCTTTTAATTTTTCATTTTCTTGACAAAATGTACCGCATTGCCTCGTTTTTTACGCAATAGTGAAAGTATCTGGATTTCAATCCATTTTCCTTCCTTTCTTCATTCATTTTCTTTAACAACATATAGATGTTTTACCAGTGGTGAAAGATCTGCGTAGTTTTTGCCGCTTTAGTTTAAACCCATGGCATCGTCACCTTTTAGGGAAGGCTATTTCAATATTGCCAAACTGTGCCTTCAGTGATTCACATTTGCAGTCATTTCCAGCCATACTTTGGAAGAATTGGCACTAGGAGCTGAACATTAAAGCTTTTTCAACAATTGTTTCCTTTTTGGCCATCCGAGTTACAAGTAGTTCATGTGGTGCAAAAATAGTGTCATATTTCAACTTTGATCCAACATATCTAGACCTATCGAGAATTCCACTCTCTGTTTTTAAGTTTTACCGCTTGGGTTTCTTAGAGAGCCGTGAGACTTGACCCAGCTTATTTCTTAATGGGATTTCTGCATAAAGGTGTTGAACTGCTTCTCAACCTGGGGTAATCTGGGGGATAAACCTATTTGGGCATAATCAGAGTTGGGAGTCTTAGGCACGCCCACAGTAGAAAAAAAGTTGTTGAATTACTTGTACGACACCAAACTTACGAGCGAGGGTGGAACCATAGGCGATAAATCATTATGTGCGAAAGCTTTGTCATTGAATTAAAAGAACATGACATCGTCAGAATGATCAAGCATCACGCAGTCGTAACACCCAACGCCGCTACCATTTGTTGGTGCAAAGTACCACGATGACAGTGATTTGAACTATTTTTCCTGAGAAGTAATCAGGGCATGAGAAGGTGAACGTTTTACACTTAATCTTTAACTGCCATTAAACGCTAAAAATACTTTGCAGCAGAGGCAATTGAATTGGTACGTTGTAGAGCATAGTCCGGTGATGTTTACGGACTTTCCTTTCAGATGCTGAGCAAACTTAGTGTAAAATGACGCTCGAGAGTTGGTGGCTACTCCGTTCGCGAACTAGCCTCCTCTTCTCCAGCTTTCGACCATGACGAGCACTTCGGCGTCATATTGATCAACATTCGGGTCTGTCGACTGGTTTCGAGTCAACGTCCTCTGCCCAACCCCCATTCAGCCCAGACGTTCGGAATGAACGATCTCTTTCTTTAACGCGTTCCCGTTTGCTCCCACTTGCAGATGTTCCCATGGTTGAACAGCAATCGTCAAAAGCTGATTAATATGACTGACAGAATTTCCAATATTCTGAGACCCTAACATGATGTTTTTGAAACGTCCTGTCCGCCGCTGTTACACATTGTACAAGCGGCTGCTTGTTTTTGACATAATGGAATTCGGATTCATGACTCCATGAGTCTGATTTTTTGGTTGAGAAGAGCATGATTGGTCATCGCTGCCTAACTTAGCCTCCGAACTGCTGCTAGCGGAAGTCCGTCAATTGTTATCTGGAATTGGAATCAGCGCCGCTGGGTTGAAGATTCGTGGCTGTGCTTTCACTATTCTTATCTCTATTCGTTTATTTCCGTCTCGTTATTCTTTTATAATGTCTAGAACCGTGGCTTTGGAACAGAAGACTATAATTTACTATAATTTGAAATTCTTTTTTCCAATCTCAATTTCAATCTGTTTAAAGTGTTCGTCGTTCGAACCCTGGTTAACGCACCATGTTACCAACTCCAGTAAGGATCGCTAGAGGTGGTTGAATGTATATCTGGAATGGACAGTCACTAGCACTGGCCTGTCAACGTATCAACCAGTGTTGATGTCCTTCCAGACAAACCTGGTACCAATTTGCAGAACCCGAAGTGATAGAGGTCTTAGTTTGCTCAGGGGGCAGCGTCGTACTAATACAGAGCTGTTCCAACCGCTGTGCTACACGCACATCCTGTGTATTCCAGTTGAAAAATCCGTATTTAATTAAAAATATCTAAAATTTAACTGGAAATTTGCGTCATTGTGATGCCTTGGATTTAATGGTTTAAGTTTTGAAGGAACTGAAAGCAAGTGGGTGCAAATACTTCTTAGACACCCTTCACTTGTCGAATTCACGCCTTGAAAATCTTCTCTCCATAGAAATATTTTTAATAACAATGGTGAATTTCGTCATTATTTTGATTAGCGAAGGTAAGATTATTGTCTTTCCTCTGTTTGCTGTTTTCCAGTGCGATCATCGTCCGCCTCAGTTTCCGACTACTGCACTTCCTGTTGTCGGCCAAATACTTGCCAGATGCACCACGTGTCGACACGTCAACATTGCCGTTCTCCTTTTTTGCTGCCGAACAGGTCTATATTGTTGTGAAGATGGAAGCTGTCGTAAAGAATTTCTCCATCAGTCGTCCAGCGCAGTAGCTGGCACTTTTTCTCACTTCAGTTTTGCTTTTTGCCGACTTGACTTCAGCGATTAACTCTTAGTGGAGACCTTGACGCTGTGTTCTTTCGACGTGCCCAAAGAAAGGACTGTTCATTGCGTTTAGGCATTCTTGTTGTCAAACGTTTTCTCCGTAGCTTGATTCCTTATCACTTTTTGTTAACGTGAATTGAGGTGGAATTTTATTGTTTTGTTCTTCTTAAGCATTGAAATGAACTTCTGCTTGATGACTCAATGGCCATTAGCATTACCTTGGAAGTATTGATCATCGGTATGCGAGGACGATTTATTTTTACGTGAAATGTAGATTTTTTTTAAAGAGATGCGTTTGCCGCATAAGCAGTGGCAGCCAGGTGAAGTTGTCGATCACACCGACGTCGCTCAATGGAGAACACACAAATGGAGTCTGTTGCCAATGAGTCTTCCATGTTAATGTCAAGAAAGAAAGCGCAAACAGCATTCTTTTGGAAGACCTGACATCGAATATTGAGCGGAACTTTTTTCATTCTTCTCATTTCCTCATATTCGTCATCGCGAAGGTCTTCTCGGTTTGCGTGTGCCGTCGGTTAGTTTTTGAGGTGTTTTGATTTTCTTCATGAATGTAGTTGAATACTAGTTGAGTCCATTCTTCCTGAAATCCTAACATAACCATGTTAAAGTGCTTCTAAATTCTCATCACATGACAGCCGCTAGCTTTTGTAAATCGAATGGGGCTTTTACCAGACACGTTTGTTACAACCTCGGAGTATGGAACACTTGGTTGCCTCGGTTGCAGTCGAACCATCGTTTTACTCGTACTGAGTCGCATCTCTGCCATTGCGTTAGCTGCTCCCAGAAATCCATTCGACCTCATAAATTCACCTGATGGACATCGTTTTAGTGTGTCAAACCTCACTGAAATCTGTTATGATTCAAATACAAAAAATCAGTGTGGATTTGTTGATCGCCAACCATTTGATGTGATAATATATGTTGTATTTACTATTGATATTATTTGTTTCGAGTTCATGCTATGTTGCCTTAAATTGAACGCGTTGTAGTTCATGCATGATATTACAGATGGGGACCTTTGGCCTGTGGTCGGCCTATGGAGCGTTGGGACGAAGCATCCGCACTCTGTACTTCTGCTCAACTATATGCATAATTGCAAGTCTTCTACAATTACATGTTTCTTCTTTTTATGTCATTTTCTCTATGTTCGATTTTCTGTACAGATTTGAATAAGTGGGGTGTAAACATCACTAGATATATTGGGAAGAAGCTAGGGATTATTGGGAACACGAGTAGTCTTCAGTATATTCAGTACTTTAAAGATTATAAGAAAGGTAAAGTTGGTTATGGAGTCGTAATCAAAACATTATTGTAAAGACGCATCAAATAAAGTAGGGTATTGATATTATAACCTTTTCTGAAAAAAACTTGACGATTTAAGATCGATCAATCCTGCCAAGATCAATCCTGTGGGGTATTATCTAGGGCTATTCCGACGCTGGCATTTTACAAGAAGTGCCATATGGCAGAAGTTCATCGCTTTGTAAAGAGTTGCGTTAGACTGAATGTGTTCAGGTGTACTCAACGACATGCATGGTCTACGGCGTCTGGCTGGCCGCCTCCAGGGGTCAGTACGCCGAGTTACTGGCGCCGTCGCTCTACGTCGATGTCGCCAGGATCCTGGCTGTCGTGTCGGCGTTGGCTTTGCTCAACCAGATCGTGTGCATATTCTCCATTCGAAGGGAACTTCGATTCTGGATCTATGCGGTGAATACGCTAAAGGCATTCTCATGTCCATTTTTACAGACAGACACCAGCTCTGCTACTCTCAGTTCTCTTGTGACCTTAGATTTCAAAATTACTTAGTGTTTGCAACGCTTCCAAACGAGGATTTCAAAATAAAAAGCTCGTAAGGAACGTTTACTATCTCAATTTTTGCTTTCTAAGGATCTCCAGTCTTTTATTTTCGAAAGTCCGCTTGTTGAAAAATGAAAATAAATTTGAATATCTTTATGGGCGCGTGGGACGCAGTGGTCAGAGACGCCCTGCAACACACTCGTGGAATCGTTCTCCGCGCCCATGGCCCACCAAGCCTTCCACCTCTCCGCCGTCGGGAAATTAATACCAAACTTGTCAAGGAGGATAGCAGCACTGGCTCGATACATCGGTAGGCCACCGCGAGTATAAAGGCGAAATATGAATTCAATCACCTCTAATGATGCTTAGTGAAGTCGAATGCATGGCGCATCCCTCAGGGCTTGATCAACGTCGAGAGCTTTATTTTTACCCTTTTAATTTATTTCTTTTAATAGACTATCCTTAATCCCTTTTTCCGTTCCTTTTCGTAATTTCATCGTATTTTTTTAAAATTTTTTCCTTTTCATCTCACATCAGTACACCACTTTTTTTTATATTGCTTTAAAAATATCCGCCTTTATGCATATCTTTCTTCACATCTTTTCTTCCTTGGTTCTGAAAGTCTTATACTGCACTAAAGTAGATGTGATAGTTTTCAGTCGGCAATTGCGTCGCTCATCATCTTCATCATGCTGTTCATCGGCGGAATTATGGGCTTGGTGTTCAGGTCTCAGGTATTCTATCATCTCGTCATCTCTGCCGCCGTTATCTCATTCAAAAGATTCGTAGACATTTCCCATAAGCGACTACGGGTGCCGTTTTTAGCTGACTACCCAAATACCCCTTCGTCTCAAGATGCTCACCTCCCTGAAGGAGCTCTACGGAACGACAGAAATGCAACAGATCACCGATGCATGGGATCAGTTACAGTCAAATGTTAGTTAGCATTCTATTTTATATTAATAGTCTCTTCACAAAAACAGTGGTTGTTATTTCCTATGAATCAACGAAGAAGTATGTTGTCATAGAGGTTAATAACGAAATAGTACTTGCGAACGATGACTGGAACCGACAGTCGTTAGTAAGGGGTTGCTTGTACCAACCAAGATGACATTTCTTAGTGATTCGTGGAGCCCATGAGCAATTTGGCAAAAATATGCTGATATTCAGTTCGTATCTATGCTTATTTTTTTTTTCAAAAAGAAGCTCTTCTACAATTCCTTAATTTCTGAAGTTCCCTGTATGTTAATCTTGAAAAGTAAGAAAGGCCTAGAAGAACTTTAACGAACTTCGGTGCTGATCTTTTGTTTCCATCTTCGTTAAATAACAGTCGGCCGAAAGAAAGATGTCATTCCGACCACTTCCTTGTCCGGAAATCTTGATGACATGATCCAATGGAAGCTCAGTTATACTTCTTTACACTGTACTTTTTCTCTGCTTATCTAGTCTGTAGTGAACATCAGTATTTCACTTCTACAATCAGCCCTCATTTGATGATAGATTTAGCGAAGAAACTTTCTTATCTTCAGCGGAGGTAATGTGACAGTGGTCTCAATACTTTCTTGGCTAGCAATTTATTAGCAGGTAATAGGCTGAAAAAGTAAGAAGTTTGCTATGAATTGATTCTTGCTTTCGATTCGCCTATACTTCAGTGTTACTCTAGTTTTCTAGAAAAACAACTTCGTACTTGTGGATACTTGTTCATAGGCAGACTTCGAGCTAGGATTTGCCATGAGTTCTGTGGCAGAGAGTTTTCGGTCAGTTTGTTACGTAGTAGATTCACCAGTTGGGACAACGTAGCATGGTGAGGTGGTTCAGTTGTTGCAACTACCCTGACATGCCCCTATTCAGAGAGCGGCGCCTTCGTGTCATTTTCATAGGTTTTCCACTTTGCTGTTTTGGATCGAAATTATTACTTCAAGAAAAAGACACTGAAGCTGCTACTACATTGGAAATTTGGCCCGTGAGATGAACTTGCTTGATTTTCCTTCATTTTAGCGTTTAGGTTTTAAAGAGTCGTTGATGAATTTGAAATGACATTAACACATAAAGGCTGTAACGCATTGAATATAGGCATTTGATGCTATTTAGAATACTCATGACCTTCAAATTCTATCCAAAATATCTCAATATGTGGTGAATTTTATGAAATGCAGTAAAACAGGTAGGATCAATTAGTATTTGACTTTAGATTTTCTGGACCCAATGGGATACATTCCACCCATTTTATTGCTACAAGGGTCATGTTTCAAACTGAAAAGCCATGAGTTGGAGTGCAAAAGGACTGCTCAGGAGGGTTTTAACGTTGTTAGATAGTTGGGTCTACCAAAGTCTTCTTTCCTCTTAGTTTCGTATTTATTGTGTCCGTCGTTTATTTTTGCGCTCATTTTTCTTGCTTTTCGGGGTCTTCTTTTTCGTCATAAAAAATGAGTTAATACCAGAGGAGCTGAGAGCTTCATTTTATTGTGAACGTGTAAGTTGCTGAGTCCCTAAACTTTTAACGTCCAAGCAACTAAGCAAAATGGGCAGTCGATGGTGTGCGATTTACAAGCAGGCGATCGCAATCAAAACCCCGCCGTCGTAGTCTAACTTTTTAAAAAATTTCTTCACTATCGTATTTGGTGAAGTGTGGAATGAAGAGTTCACACGGAGATACAACCGTCTTTAAGTGAATTGAAGATACCACGTTTCCCACCTGAATCGGGGATATTTCCTTGGTAAGTGGTGACATGCAACATTTTCTGTAGCTACATTTAGAAGCTACTAGTTCCATATATTAGAAGCAGGATATTCTCGAATGATCGAAATTATTAACGCTTTTTTTTGGAATTTTGGTGTGTCTGGAAATTCGTCGTCCGTCATTTACAGTTCAAATGCTGTGGAGTGCACGAGCAGGACGACCTGCATATTTGGCGCACTTCTAAGTGGTACATGCACCAGAAAGTTCGCCCAAAGAGCGAACTGCCTGCTTCATGGTGAGTTCTGGTGTCAGCGCATACTGTCAACACTGAATGAGTGTGAAACGTCAACATGTTAAGAAAGAAAACAGAATTGGAATCCAGTTAAGGTCACGGTTGCAACTGAATTGCTTCACTTTGGTGAACTTCTTGTTTCCAATGTTACCAAAGTCTAACTTTTTAGTTGAAATTTGTCGTTTTTATCTACTTACCATTTCGAAATGTTTCTAAGAGCGACCTCGTCTGTAAAAATAGTGAAGCTGCTGTATTCTTAATAAGTGGGCGTGGTATTGAGAGCACATCAAGTAACTCGGCAGTCGGTGCTGGGAATTATTACAGTAATAAGGTTGAGATGTAAAGTGATGAAAATTGGAAACATGGACAAGAAACAGAATCCTTGAGTTTTTCGGTTTTTTTTAATCATGAAGACTTTGAATTGTCTTTTATTTTCAGCTGCGTGCCAGAAAAACTATCACAGTGCCAATTGGGCGATCTGGACAATCCGGACAACTCGACCACATACACGGCCACCTGCTACATACCATTGAGGAGCGATTTGCTCCACGTGGTTAACGTCGCCGCATGGATGTCGATCACAGCAAGTGGCGCTCAGGTTCGTCTCACTAGACACCTTTTGGTCTTTGCTTGTGGATAAGCGCAATACATTGAAGTCTCAACATCACATTCATGCTAGCGAGCTCGAACTCCTTTCAGACAGGTTTTGTTCTCAATCATTATATACTAGTAACGCTGTTACCTCTGCTGATCGAAACACTAACTTTATATCAGCAAAGCATTTTAAGAAATCTATGTACGGGTCAAATTGGTATCCTCAGTCAATCCTTATGAATAGAATACGAGTGCATTAGTTTATCATTAGGACTGGCGAACGGTACTATAGAGATTTTAAGAAATCTATGTGCAGATCAAATTGGTATCTTCAGCGAACGCTTGTGAATAGAATACGAATCCATTAGCTTATCAGTAGGACTGGAGGGCGGTACTGTAGAAATCATAAAAGGATAAAATTATAAAGCTCTCGGCGTTGATCAATAAATACATGAGGGGTGCGCCATGCATTCGACTTCATTAAACATCCTTAGAGGTGACTGAATGCATATCTGGCCTTTATAATGGGGGGCCTATCGATGTATAGAGCCAGTATTGCTATCCTCTCAGACAAGTCTGGTACCAATTTTCCGACCTCGGAGTGATGGAAGGCCTTGTAAGCTACGGGCATGGAGGTCGATCCTATGTGTGTGTCGCAAGGTGCCTCCTACCACTGTGCCACACGCGTCCATATTTAATAGGAATCATAGGTGTATGTTCTTCTCTTGTTTCCCTTATTTTGCATCAAAGAGAACTTTTCAGCTGATCCCGGCTCTTCTCAGTTCATGGTACGCCAGGCTTATCAGGAAGTAGGGCTTCTCCGACGTGCGTTGTTTTCTAGTGCAATGTTTGCTAACACACCATCTTGTAGTACTTTTGTACATAAGAATTGTTTTTTGCACCAAACATACTTCTTATTGACTGAGATTTTAAATGTTTTCTCCAAATGCTGCAGTTCAAACATATCATTTTGCTTTGTGTGTTTGTACAGTTTCCACAGTTATGTAACGATTATAAGAATGATAGTACGAACAGGTTTAGTTGTACCACTTTGGAATCCTTTCAGTATTTGAAAGTCCAATCCTTTAGGATACTGTGGCACTGTATGTTGTCTTTCGTATTTTTGTTGAGCAAACGCGAGGTGTTACTATTCTTTGTTCACGATTAAGCTGACGTTTCGGCGAATTTCGCCTTCTTCAGAGCCGCTTTCTATGAGGCTTTCTATGATGGAAACCTAGTAGAATAGTAACACCTCGCGTTTGCTCAACAAAAATACGAAGAAAATCACTTGATCAATGCCGAGATTAATAGAAAGTCGGTCGTGGCAGTTACTGTATGTTGTGTTTTCTGCGCCACAAGTGGCACATTTTCGTCGTATTTTTTCCCTCTTTCTAGGATTCTGGGTGCTCCTTAATTGTATTTCTATTTTAGGGAAGCTCAACATAATATGATCCGTTTTTAATGATTTTCCTACTTATATTGTTAGCTGAGTTACTGGAAAGGTCCTCTTTTTTTGAGTTGCAGAACACCTTTTCCATCTTTTCCTGTATCTCCTGTGGCAACAGATTCGATAATATGCATAGAGTAGATTGAAAAAATTTGCAAGCTGAGAAGAGTACAACTGTTTATAGAATGATAAAATACATAAAATCATCAGCGAAATTAACAAACAACGCCATTTCTCTAAATCGCAATAATCTTCACGGAATGAGTGCTGAAGTTGGATGGAGATGAGACGAAGTCAATTCAGATCTACAGGGACATTGGTGGGTGAGCGCGGGACGAGGCAGTCGCAATCTTTGCATATAAGGGAGAGCGTACATCATTTCGGGGTGCACTGAACGGTGCGCAGACTACACGTGGATGGGTGCAAACAGAAGAAGGAGATCATTGTCAGCACAAAGGTACATGCTCAACATGACCGACGAGTTGCAACGGCTTAGAATGGAGTTTGTGTAGGAAAAGGCGAGTGATTCGCTGTTCAAGTGATGGTTGCCTTATAAGAAAGAGATGGATCAGCGATGACTTCTCTTCTCCACGTATTTGCACGTCGCGCAACATTTCTGACGGACCTCTCCAGAGTCGCATCTGAAAAGAATAGGTTATCTGGTAGCATAGACACAGATAAGTCCAGGTTTAGGACAATTTTGAATAGAGAATGAGGTGATTCTATGGATTCCGTACAGCTAGGACTACAATGCCGATATGCTTTGGATAAAAAAAAGATAAACCTTTCCGCTAAGAATCAACCCCTGAGAGATGCGCCATGCGTTCGACTTCATCAGGAGTCGTTAGTGGTGAGTGAATGGATATCCGGCCTATTCAATGACTCGTTGTGGCCTAACCATTAACAAGTCAGTGCTGCTAGCCTCCGAAATAAGTATGCTACCAATGTGTCAACTCGAATTCGGGATGGAAGGCTTGATGAGCCTGGGACGCATGATCGAACAAACGACCAATCTAGTGCTTACGGCAGTCGACTCGACATGAGTATCATGTTAGATTGGATGGACGAACATGACTGAGTTTAGCGCTGAGTATTCGTTTATACTTCTCCACTGAATAATAGCCCGTTGTTATATGCAACAAGTATAAGTGAACTCCAAGTTGAAGTAGTGGTTTTGCATTCTTCTCAGTTAAAACAAGGAAATAAATAACGCTTTATAGAAAAACCCACGAGTGGAAGACCTTGATAATATCGCAATACCGCGAGTTGTCTTCGCAGGACTCATCTAAATAGACAGCATAAATAAATTAAACGAAAAACGTAATGCACGAGAAAAATACGTGCAACAAACTGGTGTCGATAGGTTATCTGGCAGCATAGACACAGTAATCGTTAACCTCTAGTTTCAGAAAACAGAAGAATGAATGAATACATGCTGACAACAAAGATCGAACAACATTAGTGAGGCTGTCTAAGGAGAAAAGCGGAGCAAGAGCCTCAGTGGTGCAGTGTGTAAAACGCGGGCTCCCGGAAAGGGTAATCGTGGTTCGATCTGGCCCGTAGTCCAAGTTTTGTGAATATCTCACAATCATTGTGGTTGTACAACACATCATACCCTGCCGTGAAAAATCATAGTGAGCAGCAAATAAAAGGTTAACATTTTCTGAGAAAAGTTCATTGCAGAATGTGTGAAGACGTCTTCTATCTAGACTCACCTTGCTGTAAAGGTAGGGCAGTAGGACGACAAGGCGGAAGAGTGTCGGCGAAAGGACAGGCGCGAGCCGCAGGTGGGCGCCGCCCGTCGCAGTTGCGGCCTGCCGACAGTCGACTCGTCGCCCATACACAGGAGAGAAGACGTAACTGAATTTACAGCTTAGTCGTGGTCGCGTAGGCAACTTATTGACACCCGTAGAGGTCTACTATGAAGAATAGTCACGAATGCTACTGCAGATATTACTGGAGGAAACGAGCATCCATAAATTTGAAATACAACCAGAAGAATGTTGGCATATGAGAAAACCCGGAACCTCAAGCGCGCTTCGAGCCCGCGATTACCCTTTCCGGGGCTTGCGTGTCATCCCTGAGTTTTGCTCATATCTCAGCATCTTCGTGGTTGTTTTTTACATAATACCCTGCCGTGAATTGTGAATTCATTAAGGTACCCAATATTTCTTTGAGGTCTTTGGATTTTTTGGTTTCGACATCGCTTTTTTGGTTTATCAGATTATCTATGCTATAAAATCAACGTGGTGCCACACCTAACTTGGGGCTTTTTCAAGTGAAACATGCAGTTTAAGCCTTTTTAAAGTGCAAGTTTGCAAGCTGAAAAGAAAGAGTGGAATTAGCCAAGTGTTCGGGTATAAGTGGGACTCCGTTCGGGTATAATTCTACCCAACTGTGGACTACCCACCTGCACTCCGCCAGTGCCGCAATTCGACGAACACGATCCCCAGTCCGACGCATGCCATTCGGCTTTACAGCTATCTGAAACAAAAGTTCAACTTCGAAAAGTTACAAATGAATAAAGACATTTTCCCCACTCCTTCCTCTCCCATGTTATTCTCTAGGAAGAGAAATATTTCATTTCTGTGTTCCCAGCACGTCCACGCTTCTTTGTCTTCTTCTTGATAGAAACTATTGTTCTTTTCCGTACCCATTGATTGAACTTCTATGAATTCTTTTTATTTATTCCAGCCTAGTTTCTCAGCAAGAGTTTAGGACATTATTTCGTCGAATGGAAAATCGATACCTTTTTCATCGATGTTAGCGAGTGTTTGTGGTGTCATCTACGAAAACCTGTTTGAAACCTACATAAACTATCTCGATTGTTCACAAATCCTGCTCCTGTCGCAATCGTCAACGAAGGATGGCCTGTTCTTCACTTCTAATTCAAGGTTATGGCGCAAATTTTCCAACAATACTTCCATGAGATTGTAAATGGAATAAAATAAAGGATAAAGCTCTCGGCGTTGATCAAACCTCGAGGGATGCGCCATGCATTCGACTTCATTTAGCATCGTTTGGTAGTAACTTAATGCATATCTAGTCTTTACAATGATTCACGATGGCCTACCGATATATCGAACCAGTGCTGCTATCCTCCCAGACAGGTCTGGTACCAATTTGCCGACCCTGTAGGGATGAAAGACTTGGTGGGCCATGGGCGCGGGGATCGATTCCACGTGTGGTTGGAGAGCGCTTCTGACCACTGTGCCACATGCGCCCTTATTGGAAGTGGAATACTCCATAAAATTAGACATTTAGTATTGAACTTTGCTATTCTTCATTCCGTAGTGAACACCAACTCTTTTGAAAAACTAGAAATCCTAATTGAACGCTTATGGTTAAGAATATATGGATGAATGTGGCTTTGTCAAACCCTCGTGGTCCACGCATACCAATCGCACTAGGACGAAAACGAAGCCGAAGCATTCTTTATGTACTTCGATAAGATTTACACAAAAGAATATACCTTCTTTCAGTGTTCATTTTTCATTATCATTGGCGATCTCAACGCTAATAATAGACCCAGAAGGACGTCTGAACAACGTCACATTGCGACCCATGGATTGGAAGAGAGACATCACGGTGAGCGACTATCTGAGCTTATCGTAATAAACAAAACCTTCCATGACAACTTATAATTCCAAAAGCCCCGCTCTACAAGCTTTTCACTCGAGTCATGCCAGACAAGGCTGACAGAACATTGGACGTAGAGCAGCTATGTCTCACAAGCAGGGTCTCGAAAAGGATCCAGTACGATGGACCACATCCACACGATAACACGACCAATTGAGACATCGCCAGATTACCAGATACCTCGCTATTCCGCTTCCATCGACTTAGAGAATGCCTTCGGCTCAGTTGAGACAAAAGCATTTATGCAAATATCGGACAACGACGGTGTTGATATACAGTATATCGAAATTCTTCGTGAGCTATAAAAACCTTACAGCCAAAATATCATCAATCTACAACGATGTTAACATCGACGTAAAAAAGCGGTCCGACAAGGCAATACCATCTCGCAAAAAATATTTTCCGCCACCCTCGAGAGCGTCATGAGAACATTGGAATGGAGCAACATGGAGTGAAAATCGATGGTCGGCAACTATACCATCTTCGTTTTGTTGATGACGTCATGCTTATAACATCAACCATTAGTCATGCAAAACGGATGTATGCCGACTTTGATAACGCCTGGGGAAAGATTGATCTTTGATTAAATCTCACAAAAACGACGTTCACGAGGAACGGATTTGCTACATATGCCATATCCATGGAATGAACACCGCTGAATTCTTCAGTTGTGCCTACCTGGTAACGAAGTCAACATGATGAGCGGTTTAGCTCCAGAGTTGAGCAGTATCAAGAGAGCAGCATTGGGATCTTTCAAAAGCATCCATGACATAGTGAAGAGGACTAAGAATACGCCACTCCGTGCTCCATGCTGACCTTTCGCACGATTCCCCTTGGCTTAACGTATGCATCAGAAACCTGGTCACTACGCAGCTAGGATGAAAGATCACTCAGCGTCAAAAAATCTGTAGCCGAAGGAACGATGCTTGGCCCTTGCCGTATCATGCAAATGAGGCAAGGGATCCGAAGTTTTGAGCTACGTCGACAATCAGGGACAAAAGATGTGTTGTTCATGCCAGAATGTCGAAAGTCAGGTGGACTGGGCAGATGATGCGTTCGAACAGCAACCGATGGACAGGATTCGTTAGCGACTAGATTCCTCGAGATGTCTAACGCATACTAGGAAGACTACCGAACTGATGGCCAGAGTTCTTAACGGAGTTAAAAAAGCCTGATCGTCAGCGAGCTCTTAAAGCCAACAGAAAGCACTCGGCTACTATTGTACGGGGCAGGGAAAAGCGAGACCCTGTTCGAAAAAGTCGACGATCGGTAAGAATAAAGAAAGATACATAGGATACTAGTTTTACTTTAAACATTACGAACACGTACTCCTACCGATGATCGGCATTTATGAGCGGTCGGAAAACTCACTATTTTCGCATTCTTTGCGTGACTTAGGCCTCTGCGTCTTGTCGCAACTCTGCTCGTCCACTACATCGCCGTTCGTCGACAGACATCTTATGTCTCGTCGTTGCTTCGCAACACCGTTTCGTACGCAGGGAGCGTTCGAGCACTAAAGTTATTCTAGTCAAATGCCAGGCAAAATTCGTCTCATACGATACTTTGTTGGCTTTTGCTCTACTGCGTGTAGCAGTCAAGTTACTGGAAGTTATTACTGCACATAACTTCTTTCCTTGCATTTAAATGAGCAGATGTAGTAAATCGGAGGTTTAAACCTCTTCTTATGAAGTCATAGTGAATACACGTGGTAAAAATCAGATGTGTTTGGCGATTACAAATCTTCCGCTCGTTGATGGCCACTACCTGCCGGTTGCTAATAATAGTCACGCAAGAGGCTCGATTTCCCGTGCTGCCGTGTGAGCCGACGCCTAATTTTGGTAATATACTGACTGTGTTGCGCATGTAGCACAGTGGTAGGAGGCGCCCTGCACTATGCATGAGGTCGATCCCAGCGCCCGAGGCTCGTCAAGCCTTCCATCCTTCCAGAGTCAGCAAATTGGCACCAAACTTGTTTGGGAAGACAGCAGCACTGGCTCGATACATCGGTCACTGTGAAGGGCATATATGCATTCAATCACCTACAATGATGCTTAATGAAGTCAAAGGCATAGCGGATCGCTCAGGGATGTGCCGAGAGCTTTATTCTTTTGTTACTGGCTGTGTTTAGGTCAATACGGACTTAAAAGTTGTAAAGTTGTCCACCACTCGATCATGTGCCTGTCAGCATATAGTAACGATGCTGGCTTTTCTGATAACGGACGGTAGCTTTTCAATAACTGGACAAGTTCGAAATTTAAAGTACCTAGAGCAGACAGCTTGCTCTATTGCTCTAAGGATATATGAAACTTGTACTCTCTGTCTTAGAATATATGCGCTTTCTGATGAAGTATGCAGTTTCTTTCCAATGTGTTCATTATTGTTATATCGAGTCTCCACTCACGTTTTTGGCTTAGTGGTTCTCTCAGCTTTCTACATGTTGACGCGATTTAGGTCATTTCTCTTTACTTTGTAGCAATCCTTCTCGTTTATCACTTGTGTTTTCTCTGCCAATGATCATTTTTTATAAACTCTTATCAGGTCAGCAAATTATGAAGTCAATTTCGCCGTTGTTGAACCGAACATCGAGATCGATTATGAAGTTGGGGCTATGAAGTGGGACATGTACTTCTCGTAAGCATGTAAGAATATCGTGGTATATAGGAATACCAAATCTGATGATGAGAATGATGTTGAACCTGACGAGTTTGTGGGTATAATGACTTCTTTTTTCGATATAGCATGATGACAGTTTTTTCTACACTAGCGGTGCTATCAGCACTCAAGCATTCACCTGTCGACGAGAATGATCTGAGGAGCACAAATCCGCACTGAACCTAGTTAAGCTGAAGCTGCAGTCGAAATCGCAGCGTTTAACCGTTTATGTTTATAGTAATGTTCAAGTATCCCTTTAATTGTATTTATATATACGACTCGTCTCCAGGTAATGTCCAAATTGAGTTCTTCTTTGCCGCGATTTGTTGTTTCGCAACCGTCATCCACGAAGATCTTCGTTATGGATTCAGCAGCCACTCAAGGATTCTTAGCCTTTTTTACGAATGTCGTTGAATGGCGTTCGAATATTTCTCTTATGGAATCGTGGAATCGTGGGACAGTCATTCTAGTGCGTTCCCAAGTCAATCACCACTGGAATTCATCAGCCTCTGTTGACAGGAGGCAATTTCCCAGACAGGTAGCGCCAATTTGGCAACCCTAAACGTATGGGAAGCCTTGCTTGACTGAGACAGTTTCGAACCAAGGACCATACGTATTGTGGCAAAACATCTCTTATCATAGTGTTCCCTGGAGCCCATTATTATTACTATTGTTATTATCCTCCCAACGGTTTACTGCCTCATCGTGGCCGAGAGGTGTTCCTGGGTGTTGGGTTGCGATGTACAGCGGGGGATTCATCCCCCCGGCAGGGTCTTCCAAGCTGAGAAAGAGTCCGGCGTTTCCATGGGGAAGCTCAGCTAAGTGTAAACCAATGCCATTATCCATCACCGTCCTGCTATCAAACTAATCGCATGGTGGCAAATCTTCCCCTGATCCACAAGGGCGACAACTACCTGCAGTGGTGACGACCAGACATTGGTAGGGTTGACCTCGGGACTGCAAGGAAAAACGACGGCTATACCAGTAACACTCCGAAAAGTGGAGAACATGCTGGGGTCCACGCAAGAAGTGAGGGCTGGCCGTCCAAATATCTAAGCGGCCAAGCTATTATTATAATAATTATAATTGCCACTATTATTGGCTATGCTACGAAGATAACTTCAATGATGCTGAAATATTTGCAAAACTCCGGACCGCACGTGTATGCAGTGGAGAACGAACGCGCTATTGTCCTTTCCGGGGAGTAGCGCGTTCACCATCACACCACACGGGTCCTTCGTTTCGCCTGTCTCTCAGCTAGTTCTATCGATCTTTTGCCATCAGCAATCACCCGTCATATATCTCAGCATCATTGAAGTTATATTTCATAATGTATATCCTGCCGTTAAAAAGAGTAGGGAGTAAATAATAAGTTAAAATTATGCTACGAAGAATTTATGCTTCAATTCACTGCAAAACACGTAAAAGTGAAGATTGAAGAAAACTTTGTACTACGGAGTAGGACATTGCAGGGAGATGGCAACAGGTATATCTTACTTACTTATTTGGATACTTGGATGCCCGTCCTCATTGCTTGTGCGGGCACCAGCATAATTTCCACTGTTTCGGGGTTTCGCTGGTTTAGGCATCGTGTTTCCCTGGAGTCCCAAGATTAGTCTGACCAAAATTTGCCTCAGGTCGTCACCACCACAGGCAGTCGACCGCTTTGTTGATCAGAGGGATATTTGTCACCAAGTGACTAGTTTGTTACCAGGACCGTTGTGGATACTGGTATTCGTTCACTCTTATCTGGACTTCCTGATGGAAAAGTCGGCCTCCTTTTCAGCTTAGTAGACCCTGTCGGGTGGACGAATTCCACCGCAGCGCATTGCAGCCCGACACACAGGAACACCTTCCAACCAGAATGAGGAGGTAAACCATTGGGAGGACCAGTATATCTTACACTCAAGCATCGCTATCCGCTGTAAATTTTTGTAAGGTGCTAGTAGATTTCTCAAATGTGAAATCCCAACTACGGCAAAACGATAATCAAAATTTCCTTGGGCTTTAGGAAGAAGGTACACTCATGTTGATATCGTGAATGCGACAGATTTTCCGTAATTATTCGAAGGAACAACCTCACTCCACTCGCTAGCCTCCCATCTAGGACACTCTGGTTTGTGGCACGGTCGCGTCTCTGGAGGTGGAGTTGAAGCCAGCACGGTGCAGAGCCGACGGTCAGCATTTCGACGTGCGCCATCTATTATCGCACTACAAGTCACTTCACGGGCCTGAAACCCTCATTAACAACTTTACTTTGAAGTTTGGATAACCAACGAACCTACTGTTACCTGATAACCGGCAACACCACACGTACTCTGCTTGCATTCCGTCCAATGTCCCATTTCCCAACGTGCCTGTAGAGTTTCTCGGTGCTTCTGCAATTCCTTTGCTGCTTCAGCGTAGCTGCCGGCGGAAAGTATCGACTGAAAGCGAATTTCACCTTCAAAAGCCTCTGCTAATTAAAAAATATTACTCATTCAGATGATAAAGTTTACAATAACATCTCTTTCAGTAAGAATAAGGAAATTTTGGATAGTTCTTAACAAATATCAAGAATGCAGTTGCACCATGTTACATCATTAATAACTCAGCTGAAACCATTTGGACTTTATAAAGGAAGTAATAAAAGACTATATTTTTTATTTTTATTTGACTCGTCTTCACGTCTATTATGCCGATCCCAGCACTTCTTCACAATCGATTCGCTTCCTCGCATCCATTGTCCACAAAGACCTTCCAACTTTTTACGTGTGGCTTCTGTTGCTGCTTCAAGATTTTCATTTCATCTTGAATGTCATAAATTTTGGTTGAGCAATTCTCCCTTGAGTTTTGAGGTAGCCGGGCTGGAATGCTCCCAATTGGATTGCAGAGATTGATTTTTCCGGACAAGTCTGGTACACGACCCCGGAGGGATGAGAGGCTTGGTTGGCCTGGAGCGGAATCGAATTAGCTCTATGTTCGTGGTAACGGACATCACTACCACTGTGCTATCCGTCCCCTAAAAAGTACATATAGCATTATATTTATAAAGAACCATAATATTATGCTTCCAAGGAGGCAGTTGAATGAAGATTAAAAATTCAAGCTGCTTGAATCGAATAATTAAATGGTCGTACCGAACTACGAAGAGTCTTGCAGGCCTTGGTGCAATTTCCAATTGATTGAGATAATGCAGTGGTTGAGGAAGATGTTCTTTCAAAGGAGTCTCTAAGGGAGTGCTAGGGCCTTACGTCGTTTGCACTTTCCAATCAGTGACTACGGTACTGCGATGGTAGTGATTCTCGACATGGGCTTACGCTTAGCTGGGCTTCCAATGAGTTACGCCAAACTTTTTCTCAGCCCAGGAAACCTCGTTGCACGATGAGGTCCTGCTTAATATGGCCGTTTGATACCGAGGCTCACTCTCAGCCATGGCTCAGTAAAGCACTGCGATAGAGAGGGTATGGTTCATTCTTTACTCATTTTGTGACCTGTATAGCATTAAACGTTAAAGGTACAGCTACCTCAAATAATGAAGCATTTTTGCCAATTCCTTTGTGTGTTTTGGAGGAGGCAGTGAGAATTAGTCGATGGGGCTGAAACCAGGAAATTTTAGCAAGAAAAAAAGACGGTAACAGTCAACATAGTGGAGGATAGAAATGAAATCTGTGAACCGGATTTCTCACCACAATTTTGATAATTTGGATATAAAGGGAGCTCTCGGTGTTTATCAATCCCTGGGGTATGCGCCATGCATTCGACTTCATTAAGCATCGTTTGGAGGTGATTGAATACATATCCGACCTTTATAATGACTCGCGGTGGCCTACCGGTGTGTCAAGCCAGTGCTGCTATCCTCCCAGACAAGTCTAGTACCAATTTACCAACCCCGGAGGGATGAAAGGCTTGGTAGCCCATGGGCGCAGGGATCGATCCCACGTGTGTGTTGCAGGGCGCCTCCGACCACTGCGCCACACGCGCCTCTAATTGGGACATATGGACTGTAATTTTAGCAATTCCCATGCTGTAGGTATGTTAAAAAACGTTTAATACAGTTTCAAGTTCAGCGGCTGGCCATAAAATGCACTTCACCTTATCGTCATCACGGTATTTGAATCGGAGCGTAACGTTACCCTGCAGCTTGTTTGTGTAACACTCGTAGACGCCGGCATCCTCCATTCGAGCATGGAAAATCCGAAGATTCCCATTTGCAGAAACCTTTATGTGAGCTGAAAATCATCTAACTAGGTGGTGCCGTCTTAGGAAAAAACTGAATGAGCAACAGCAATGATAAAACCTCCACAACAAGCAATTTTATACTGAATGCGAATTTTGTCTCTACATTATTCAATAGGTCGGGGCAGACTTTGGCCAGGCTGAACTCGGGATCCCAGGGAACCACAATGGCTCACCCAAGAAGTCTCGAAAAAAGTGGAGATTGTGCTGGAGTCCGCACAAGTAGTGCAGACGGGTCGCCCAAGTATCCAAATATTATTCAATAGGTAGCTATTTCGCTGATTCCCAAAACTAGCTGCACTACTTTTAAAAATTCTGGCAAATGATGGCACAAAAGAGGATAACAATGTTTTACTAGCGAGTTAGCTAACCAGCCGATTGTAGACATAATCTTCTCAGTAATGTTATGTGCATCATAGCCTCAGCTACCAAGTGGCAGAACTGTAAACGGTACACACCGTCATTTTTAATTCGTCTCCCATTTCTGGTCCAGTAAATCTTCTTCTTGTCAAAATTCTTGCGAGGACATTTGATTTTGACACTGGTCCCTAAAAATGTGCCATATTATGTCTGAGTATCCCGACCGTCAACGGAATCCTACCTTGATAGAGTGTGGCCACTCCACCAATGCCCAGAGTTAGTTTCTTCTCCGAAGCGTTCTGTTCGAATACTCGATTAGACAACAGTTGTGGCTTTCCGCAACGGCCTGGAAAACATCAGAGTATCTTAAGCATAGTGTATCAGTTTTAAAAAAACTAGTAAAACGTGAAGAAATCTCATAATAAAGATTATGACAGTCAAATTAGCAAGATATAAACGATCAGGGGCCGGTGTAGCGCAGTGGACGGATGTGCCCTGCAACACACTTGTGGAATCGATCTCCGCGTCCATGGCCCACTAAGCCTTCCATCGCTTCGGGCTTGGAAAATTGGTACCAGAATTGTCTGGGAAGACAGCAGCACTGGCTCAATACATCGGTAGGCCACTGTGAGTCCTTGTAAAGGCCAGATATGCATTCGGTCACCTCTAAACGATGCTTAATGAAGCAGAATGTATGACGCATACCTCAGGGATTGATCAACGCCGAGAACTTGATCCTTTTGTCCTCAATCTGCTCAAAGCTCTCGTTTTGACGATCGACCAAGATATTGTTTTTTTTACGAACTTCAAAGGTGCTAATACTATTGTTAGCTCATAAATTTTGAGACTTTTCAACGTATTATTCTAGGACAATAAAAGTACACACGAAAACTGGATCACATGAGCAACTCAGAGTTCTTTTTCTGTCACAGCTAGTCGTTTATAAGGTGTGTAGATGGCAGTGAGTGCGGAGGTTGCTACCAGCTTGAAAGATTTAGCACAAAACCATCTAAAGTTCCCTGGATAGAGATATAGAGGTGTTCTAAAAAGGACAAGAGGCAAACTATTGGGCTTCGATCAAACGTTGAAGGATGCTATGCATACCACAGACATCAACAGAGGTGAATGAATGCATATGTGGTCCATACAATGATTTGCAGTCGCCTAACGATGTATCAAGCCATTACTAGTATTCTCGCAAAAAGCCTGGCATCGATTTGCCGATCGCGTACGGATGCAAAGCTAGGTGAGCACAGAGGAGCAGGAACAAACTACACGTTTATTGGAAGGCATCTGTAACCAAGCCCTTATACACGCTTTGCCCGCTTGACAAAGCTGTCTTATATGCCAAGATGCTAGAAGAGGATCAAGCCTAAACACTGTTGAAAGCGACTGAACACTTCTGTGGGAAACTGCTGTGATAATAAGTATAGAAACTGCTATTATTTGCTGTTAAATACATATGTAGGAAAGGTTTACGTTCGACAAAGTTAGGGCAGAAGAAGAAACACCCACCCAGGCTACACATCTGAACTGCAGCAGGCTTATCATCTGAGCATTCCTTCTCTGGACGTCGCTCTCTCCGTCCGTTGACGTCGCGTCCTTCACAGACCACACTTCGCTTCTGCTCTCCAGACCCACACGAAGTCGAGCATTCCGTCCAATCACCCGTCTGAAAGTTTCGTGGTAGCAGAAATACAAGCAAGCTATTTCTTTTTAAACTTCAAAGCCATTGACTTGAGAATATTGGTTATGGATATTTGAGAAAAAAACATAAACGGTTCATTTTTCGCCGGGAAAACTATGAAAGACTTCCTAACGGTTTACCATCTCATCGTGGGTGGGAAGTGTCCCTGGCTGTCGGGCTGCGATGGGGATGGGGGGAGGGAAGTACTTCCCGAGAAGGCGACAATGCCGTCGGCAAAACGAAGGTTTGATAGGAATATTCCATCAATACGTATACCTTTCTCATCTCAATCGAGTGATTTCATTATCCACTGCATTGTGGCACTGAACAGCTTTGGCGATATTGTGTCGCCCTGTCGAACCCCTTTTGCTATAGGTATTGTAAGAGGTCGATGGAAAACTGTATCTTCATAGTCCAGTTCCGATAACAGTCGGACAGAGCTCTCATGTAGGACGGGTCCACTCCTTGGTCGACGAGCGCTGGTAGGATTGCATTCGTTTCGAGACTGTCAAGCGTTTTCTCATTGTCGACAAAGGTTAGGACTACAGGCAAGTGGTATTCCCGACAAACTTCGATGACCCTGGACACGGTTTGGATGTGGTCCATGCAGCAGAATCCCTTTCGAAATCCTGCTTGCTCGACTGTTGCGCCTCATCCAATGTCCTTGGTGTGCGCGAGAGGATAATCTTCGTGAAGAACTTGTAGATTAGACTCACTAAGCATATGGAACGATAGTTACGAAGATCCCTTCGATCTCCTTTCTCAAGCAGGATAACCATGCCCGAAGTCCTCCACTTGTCTAGGATTTTTTCCCTTTGAAGGTAGGCTGTCATATGATTTGCGAGAAGTGCATGTAAATTGTGGCTTCCAGCTCTAATGAAGTCGGCGGTGATATTATCGGGTCCTGGAGCTGTGCCTCTTTTCACGCTTTCTATCGCCACTTGAACCTCCTACGGAAGACTTCCAGGTAGTTTTTCTCCAGCGGGATATTAGAGCCCGAGACGGCGATTGTAGAACGGAAAATGTTGGTGTAGAACGTTTTCGCTATTAATTTCATATCACGGTGAGAAGTTTTGACGATCCCATCTTCGTTCATCAGGGCTTACAGCGGAACATTATGATCACACAAGTCCCAACGGTATTTTTTCAGACTGCTTCTTTTCTCGGTTGCTTCCAGTAGTTTCTTCTGCTTGCACCGTTGTAGATCTTCCCGCAAAGCTCTTCTGCAGCTGGCATTTATTACTAGCCATGTTAAACGTGTTGCAGTAGGATCAGGCTTCAGTTTCCGTCTCTTTTCGAGCAACACATTAGTAGTGATGGAGATGCGATCTTATCTTCTTGCTTGAGGAACTGAGGAGAATTCGGCACAGCTTTTCACCTTCGACAAGAAGCTCGTAGTCTTCGGTCGGGTCTTCTTTAATCTGCCAATCACGTTTGCATAGGACTTGGTTCAGAATTTTGTCGTCGTATACAGCTAGACTTTTCCCTCGTGGTCGATGAAGAGAGTTCTTTTCCAGTTTGCGGCTGAATCGAATCTTCGAGCGAAGAAGACGGTGATCGGAACCAGTGACGGGATTACCGATCTGTCAAGTAGGCACCATCTTCTGCTTGTCAGAATTTGGTCGATTTCCGCATGAGTCATGCCGTTTGGAGTCTCCCATGTCCAGCGGCGGCTTTCTTTCTTCTGGAAAAACGAGTTTCCATGGAAGAGACGTGCTGCTGACTGTAGTCTTGCGAGACGGTTCCCATTCTCATTTCTTTCTCCTAATCCAAAATTTCCGATCCTGTATTCGCTCTCGTTGGCCTTTCCTATTCTGGCGTTAAAGTCTCCGACAACAAATTTATGACATGGTCTATCATTGCGGATAACTTCTTCCAACTGATAGTAGAACACATTTAATTCGTACTCATCAGCTTCATCGGTCGGTGAGTAGCAGTTGATGATAGTGATCTTGTTATGATGCGGTAGTTGGAGACGGAAGACAGCTATGCGAAGAGAAAGGATTTCGTATGAGTCGACGAGATGGACAATGGACGGGTGGACGACAACGCCTACGCCGCCGACATTTCGTGACGGGACCTTTTTTTCCACGGTTCACAAGGGCCCCGTTGTTTAGTTGGCGTATGTCGGTTTTCTTGATCTTTGTTTCTTGTAAGGTAAAATGGTCATATGAAATTTAATGCGATCTGCGACTACAAGAAGGGCGTGAAGATCAGCGCCTGTGGAGAGTGTTCTGGCATTATACGTGCATAGTAAAAAAAACAATCTCCATGGCGTGTCGTGTGTGTGTTGTTCGTCAGATACTGTTCCAATGACGTCCTGCATTACCCAAAATTTTCTGACCTCTCACCGGTCGTCCCACTGCCTGACGTCATAGATGGGAGCACCCAGTGTGCGGCGTACTGTGGCTGGTCTATTGCTGGTCGTGCAACTTGGTCCTCCCTGGAGTCCTGACTTAACCTTGCAAGAGCGTATCCAGGTCTTCAGCACGATGTGGATCAGACGGAGGTGTGTTTTCGACGACGAATCCTTTGCTCCGTCATCCTACTAGCTAATTCGGAGAGGAGAAAAGCTCAAACTGGGGTAACTAAACCAAGAACAGCAATAATATAGCCCTTTCGTATATTAAGTGAGCTGTGACTTTAAAAATATATAGGTGAAAAGAATTCCATGCAAGGATAATTGAATAGTGCTTTGACCAGAATGAAACTGTGATGGACTGGGAATCTCAGTACAGCTTCCCCTTTTTCTCTTCTATCTAATCTAGACCATTTATTTGGCAGAGAAAGGCAAACTCAACGGATGAATGAGCACTTACGATCCAACTAGCTGGACACTCGACTGCACCACAGCTCTCGTTCTCGCTTGGCTTTGGTAGCGCACATTCTGCATCGCGTAAAACGATATGTGCATCTGCTCCTTAAACCAGTTAAACGTAAGCGTAGCAAAGTAATAAATTAGGTGGCATAGAAGCGTAGACATATTAGAAGTTCCCATACTGCTTTGGTGTTCTCGTAGTGATATCGTCAATGTTGATGCCCGGCACGCAAACAGTGCCAGAACCAAGGAAAACAGTCAATATAACCTTTAACACATGCTATTCGCTAGAAACTGGATTTTGGCTATCACTCTTAGGTTTCTGGTCTGCGATCACTAATTTCGAAAATTAGGAATACTTCTACCAGGATCTGAATCGTGCTTATCACCAGATGCTGAAACTGCGTCACATTGTAAAAAGGAACCGAAATCGATGAGCAATAGAACGTCTCAGATCATGCAGAAAATGTTTCGCGCCATATATTTGAATGCAACATCTTTATAAAGAATCGCATTGCTAACACCACGTTCTTCAATTTACTGGTATGTTATTGAGTTGGTAATATTTTCTGTCTAGAACTCTTCTTGCTTACTATTTGGTAGATCTCCCAATAAAAAAATGTCGAACTGCCAAGCTTCGATGACTTTGTTGAAGGATGGACAACTCTCTTTACATTGCAGCTCGAACTTAAGAGTGCCTCTATTCACGTTGAAGAGTAAACCTTTGGAAATACCAGAAAATTCACCTGTATCACCTGTAGTCTGTAGTCCCGTTGATCGTCGAGTGACTCGAGCGGGCACCAGTAAATCCTCCATTTTTCCCTGTCGCGTGCAAGAGTAGCCCAGTTGGGTCTGCCCGCTCTAGGGACTCGTCGAGCATCATATCTTTCTTCAAAGCACCTTGTGAAAAACTCTCGCCATCGGGTCGGTGGTCATCCTGCAGTACCTTTGACATCCCGAGGAATCCAGTCACTCGGCTCTTGTTCAACGGTTGTCATTCACACGCTTTACGTGTCCGGCCCACCTTATCTTCGACTGTTTGTCGTACAAAACGGCATTTTTGATCTTTGATCCTTGACGCAGATCGGAGCTTCGGATTCCATCCCTTATTTGTGTGAAACGGGATACTCCTAGCATCGTCCTTTCAACGGCGCGTTCTATAACGCTGAGTGATCCTTCATCCTGCTTACGCAACGACCAGGTTTCTGATGCATACGTTAGGGCAGGAAATACCGTTGAGTCGAAAAGGTGGGCACGGAGTCGGGTGTTCTTTGTTCTCCTCACTAAATCCTCGATGCTCTTGAAAACTCCCCAAGCTGCTCCTTTTCTCCTGTTCAACTCTAGAGCTAGGTCGCTCGTCATATTGATTTACCGACCTAGATAGATATAACTGGAGCATTCAGAGATATACGTTCCGTTGAGCGTGGATGGGGCATGAGAAACCAATCCGTTCATCATGAACATCGCTTCTGTGGGATTTAGACGAAGACCAATCTTTCCACAGGCTTTGTCAAAGTCGGCAAACATACGTTCCGCTTCGCTGATGTTTGATAAGGACGATGTCATCAGCAAAGCGAAGATGATGTAACTGCCGAGCATCGATTTTCATGCCCATATTATCCCATTCCAATGTTCGCATGACTTTCTGGAGGATGGCCGTAAATAATTTTGGCGAGATGGTATCGCCTTGCCTAACTCCTCTTTTGACGTCAATGTTAATATCGTTGTAGAATGGTGATATCTTGGTTGTGAAGTTTTTGTACATCTGATGCAGAATCGTTGTGTACTGAGTAGGGAATCCTTGACTATCAAGGGCTTCCCAGACTGCTTCCATCTCAACTGAATCAAAGGCCTTCCGTAAATCGATGAAAGTTAGACAGAGCGGTCTTTTGTACTCTAGCGATACTAATGGGCCTTGTTATCGTGTGGATGTGGCCCATCTACTAAATCCTTTTCGAAACTCTGCTTTCTCACATGGCTGTCCTTCGTCCAATGTTCTGTCAATCCTGTTTAGGATGACTCGAGTGAAAAGTTTGTAGACGACAGATAGCAAGCAGATTGGGCGATGGTTGCCGATATCGTGCAGGTCACCCTTCTTGAACAATAACACGGTCTTGCTGGTCTTCCACTGAGTAGGGACCTTGCATTCAGACAGGTAACGTGTGAAGAGCCGAGCCAGTGTGTTTACGAGGACTGGCGGAAGGTTTTTCAGGTGTTCTGATCTTATCCTCTTCGGACCTGGTGCTGTTCGATTTTTCACCGACGAAATGCCATGTCGGATTTCGGAAGGGAGAACCGGTGGTACAAAATATCCATCCTCCTTTATTTCAAATGACGGAAGGTGTACGTGGCTATCGTGGAGATCCGAGTATTCGTGAATGATTTTCTCCATTGCTTTTCTGGATGCTGTAACTGTTCCGTCTGGGCGCCGGAGAGCAATCATTTTTGTCTTATAATTGGCGAAGCTTCGGTGGGTTTTGTAAATGCTTTTCACAGCCTATGCAGCTTCGACCATTACTGCTCTTCTCTCTCTAAGGTCTTCTTTTATCGCTTGTCTGCATTGTTTTGCAAGCCCGGACGTTAGTTGCGGTTGCCTGCAGCATGTCCGATTCCACGCTGGCGTGTCAGCTCATGTGTGACGGACGTCTCTTCGTGACTTACATATCGCTAACGTGAAGATATTGAATGAGCCGATCTTATTCCCCTTCGATGTTATCGACAACGGCATCTTTCCAACAGCCGACTAATAAATTGAATAAGTCCCAATTTGTGGTGGTTCTGCGACTCCGGTTCATTGAATTTAGCGGCTTTTTCTCCTTTCCGCGAGAAATAGAATCTTGAACGGAGGAGACGGTGGTCTGACCCCGTGTAGAATTTTAAGATAACAGCGACATCGGTTAGGCAAAACCTATTTACTATGATGTGGCCTATTTCATTATGATACTCTCCATTGGGAGACTCCCACGCCCAGCGCTGAGGGTGTGGCTTCTGAAACTGCGAGTTACCATGGATTGTCTTGGTCGCCATGATAACTCAGATAGCCGCTCACCCTGTTCGTTCCATTCTAATCCGTGGGTCCCAATGTGACGTTCTTCTTGGTCCAATCTTGGCGTTGAAATCTCCAATCATAACCTTGAAGAATGTATGGTCTTCTCTGCAGAACTTCTCCAAGTCCATATAGAACGCTTCGACCTCTTCCTCGTCATAGTTTGATGTCGGCGCGTAAACGACGAAGACTGTCAAAGCCGGAATTGATCCACGTCTTTTTAATCCTAAACGTCCGATTCGGGTTGTAACCAGAAAATCAAAATAAAGAATATATGACGTTGAAATGCTCTAGGCCTGCTCCTCCAATCCATCGAAAGAGCAAAAATTATGAGATTTCATTGCTATGGGCGTCATCCTGTATCCATCGTACCGGCTAGTTAATATAATTAAGCACGAAGAGGTAGAGTAGGCCATTTCTAACCAGCTTTTCGATTACCTTGTGCTAAATGGATGGCAAAAACTTCTTCCTCTGCTGGTGCTGACACCATAAAAGTGTCTACTTTTCGATATTGGACGAGGATTGCTAGGAATAATAACAAGCATCACGGAATAAAGTTTTTTGAGATCAGCAAAGACTGAGGACAAAATAGCACTATAAATGGTTGGCTATAGTAATGAGAAGAATCAGCTACAGAGGAACAGCCTTAAAAGATATGATTTCGAATCGCAATCTTAAAGGCGCTATAAGCGCAGTGGCTAGGTACGCAGCCGCACGGTAATACAAGCGTGGTTGCTAATTTAGCTCCACACCAATTATACTTGCTATCCCGAAAAGTTAAGCAAATTGGCACCAAGTTTCTCGGGAAGAGCTCCCTCCGATCCACGAAAGCCGGTGACTGCCTGCGGTGGAGAGTTGGGACACCCTAACGTGGCTCTAATAGGACTTCAAGGAGAATCTAGAGAACTTTACCAGTGCTGAATGACATTTATAAGGATGATCAAATAAGAGCCGAACACACATGCAAGTTCAAAGACTTTCGTGATGGCGGATGCGAGAAAACTGAATCGAATGGGAGGAGCGCTATGATCCAAATAAAGTGTGATATTAAGACATGTAAATGAAAGAAAAATGAAAATTGAACAACGTATCCTCTCCTTCCACACATCGGAGGTTTTCTACCTTTTCTACCACTCGTACAATTCTTGCATTCCATCACAAACCTATACGCTCTATCAAATTTTTGATGAGTTCTATACAAACTGAATAAGCGACATAACGAAGAAGGCATTTTCACAGCGTGAAACTAGGAAAAATACTAGAATGAATGTGATTCTAACTTTATCCTGAGCATTCACTAACTTCCTATTGGAGTACCCTGCTCTGATTAGTTAACAAAAACGGCTTTCTTTTCCCAATACTACGGAGTGGCCGCAAGAATACATATAATACATTTAGTACATTATATTGTAATCAATAATACAGTGTAATTAGTAAGTAAATTAACATTTAATTTGATGGACTAAATTATACATACTATATCCTTATGCTGTTGATACATTATATTATATATCGCATAACATTACTATATTATGTTAGCACATTTATACATTTAATACAGTATGAAGTTCACCCCTAACCTTATAGCGGCACAAAAGTGTGGTAGGCGAGAAATCAGAGAACTGGTAAACTCAAAGAGTATTAGACTATAGTTGTTGTAAGGGGGCAAGCGGTGGGTAGGGAGTGAGTTTGTAATTACTTCTCGTCAGTTAGATGCTAAGATGAAGGAGGAACATCTTAGTGATGCTACCCTTTATCAGCCATTACCTGCAAAGCAATACAGAAGTCAATACTAGAAGGTAGACAATCAACGGATCAAAGTGGTAAAGGGGGCAAATCCGTTGTTTCCAATCTTCGAACAGATTGACCAACATGTCTCGTCTCATACTTACTTATTAAAACACATAAGTTACTTAGAGATACATTTAATACAGTCCTGACAGAGTGCATTTTACGACAACTGTCGGAAACTTTTCAATAAGTTTTGTTCGACGTCTTCGTTTTCTTCAGAACCGATTGATCCAAGTCGATAGTCTACAGTCACTCATCCTCACCACGTGGGTGTTCGTAGTCGCACCGAGGCGAATCTTCTCCGCTCCAGTTCCGCTCGAATGAGAACCCCACTCAGTAGTGCCCTTTTATACAGGGTGGTAGCTGTTTTGTTTTGTTGAAAATTGTTTTTTTATCTTCTTTAAATGTGTTTTAATGTTTTTCTTTGAAAAAAATTTTTTAAAAGGTATTGGTTCCCTACGTGCTAATTGATATAATATTGACTATGCAGCATCGATTATCTTCTCAAATACTTATCAATATCAGTAGGCAATCAACAACAACTGTCCTGTATAAAAGGGGCACTCCTGAACGAGGTTCTCATTCGAGTGGTGCTCGACTGCAGAAGATTCGACTCGGTACGACTACGAAGACCCACATAGCGAGGACGAAGGACTGTGGATCATTGACTCGGGTGATCAGCTCTGAAGAAGACGAAGACATCCAAATATGGGCCGAATAAAACTTCTTTAAAACCTCGTGTAATCTGAACAATCTAAAAATATAACTTCAATGATGCTGAGATATTTGCAAAACCCCGGACCGCAGATGTTTGCGGTGGGGAAAGAATGCGCTATCCCTATCTGGTGGCTAACGTTTTCACCACCACACCATGCGAGTCTTTCTCCTGTCTCTCAGCTAGTTCTATCGAACAGGTCATCGGCAATCACCCGTCAACGGGAGTTTTGCAAATTTCTCAGCATTATTGAAGTTATATTTCGCAACGTACCTTGCCATTGAAAAGGGTAGGCAGTAGATAATAAGTGAAAATTGTAAAAAAATATACTGTAAAAAAGCATAAATAATTATTTACGCTGACGTTAAATGGCTGTCGGTTCAAAAAAAAACCATACAGGAGACCTTCTTCTATTGCTCTAACAGCACGTGGAAATTCCCGAAGGTTTAGATCGAACTTGTTTATAATTAAAGCCTCTGAAAAACTAAACATGATTCTCAATGCACTTATCGAACCAACAAGAAGTGTTGCTTTATTCTTTATTAAGGCAAAACCGACGTTTTAGCATCATTGTCTTCTTCAGAGCCTGGAAGGGTATATTGATATGGAATTTTCAACGGTAAACGCTTCAATAATGCATACAGAAGGAATCTGAATTGAAATCAAGTCACCAGCAGATTTTCGAAAAATCGTTTTTTATGCGTCTTCCGGAAGAACAGCTGATTAGAGTCACATAGGTTGATGGGTGCCCCCTCATATCAAAAGTCCATTCGATGATATCTTGTCATCTATCCAAAAAGTCGCGTGTGGCGCAGTGGTTGGAGGCGCCACTGTGACACACACATGGAACCGATCCCCGCACCCATGGCCCACCAAGCCTTCCATCCCTCCGGGGTCGAAAAATTGGTACCAGACTTGCCTTGGATGATAGCAGCACTGGCTCGACACATCGGTAGGCCATTGTAAAGGCCAGACATGCATTCAATCACCTTCATCGATACTTGATGAAGTCGAATGCATGGCGCATCCCTCAGGGATTGATCAACGCCGAGAGCTTTATCCTTTCTTATCTAAAAAGCCTCAAGAAGTTTGAGCGTTGGTGTTTTGGCATGTCCAAGGATAGTGACTTTTATTTCAAAATCTTCTCCGCTATGCTTTTGTATCCTCTGCCAGCCCAGTGAGGTTCTTGTCTTGTTCTTCGTTTGCCATCTAGGTATTCTTTTACATGGATACATAATAGTCTGCCCGTTTCACCAATATATTCATCTCTGCAACAAAAATATTTCATATTTCTTAAGCATCGATTTATAGCTACACCTACTTCATCGCTAATAAAAGACAAGATGAACGGGATTTTGTTTTGGCTAAACATTTCATTTCGCGGCGTAGCTCTCCTTCCAAACTTACTTCGTAGCTATTGAAAGTGGCTACCTGCTGAGCCAACCTGCGCGATTCCTCCCTTAGGTATTTGTGCACACAGAGTCTTTACGTCTGAAGAGTGGGAAGAGAGGAATGAGCGAGGATGTTTTGGTTACTTGGTTAGCATCTCGTCGTGTAACCGCTATCTGATAACTCAATCTGAACGCTGAGAAGTGGAAACCACTTTTCTTCCGGTTTCTCCCAAGTGAATTTAATGTACTCAGACTGCTCATTGAATAATTCAAAACATTTGTCCATCTACTCTTGCATAGTGAAGATGATATAACAATCATCTATACATCTACAGTAGAGTAGCGGCCGAAGATCGATACCGGGGTTTGATATTAGCACAATGGCGAGACTTGGTGCCAGGGGCGCTGTCCATTGCCAACGCCTTCATTTGCGGATAACATTTATTTCCCTGACCATCTGAAAATCGAGCAGTTTAGGCTCTCTTTTAAGAGAGCCATTTTAAGCGAGACAAATAGACAAGACATGCATATGTATTCCTCCTTCATGTTTAATAGGATGTTCGGGATGGCTTGCATTACGGAGTCATTCGATGCGTTAGTGCAAAGAGCGGAAGCGTCGGTTTCTATCACCTACGTGTTGTTGGGAGACACGTCACGTAGAGGTTCCAGGAACATTTGGGTGCTCGTGAGGTGAGCTGGGGCATGTTTAAGTAACTGGGTAAGTATTAGGATTAGAAACTATGTTATTCTATTCGTTCGCCCGTCTACACATCTGATAATGGGTCTGATAAATAAATGGTAACTTTGACGAATGATAGATTGGTTGACCAAGATCATCAGCTATTACCTACTTATGTAGTCACTTTTTACTTATTGCCTATCCTTTTCCCATGGTAGAGGTAAATGTGAAATATAGCCACAATGATGCTGAGATATGTGTTCGTTCTTTGATAAACGATAATATACTGAGATATTTGCAAAGCTCGCACTGCGGGTGGTTGCGGTGGACTCAGTCCCACTATTACCATTTCCAGGGCCAACGTGTCCACCGTCACACCATGAGGGTCCTTCGTTTCGCCTGTCTCTCAAATCAAATTCTGTGTTTTAATAGGCGAAAATAAGACGGGACGTGTTGGTCTATCCATTTTAAGATTGAAATAACGGATGATTTTAAGCCTACCGTCCTTGCCAATTTGGATGTTCCTCCGTTATCATAACATCTAACCGGCGAGGAATAACTGAAAACCCTCCCCATTTATCACTAACTGAGTCTAATAGCCTTTGAATTTACTAATTCTCTGATTTCTCACATATAACATTTTTGTGCGGCTGTGAAGTTAGGGATAAACTTTCTATATGATTAACTAAATTTTTAAGATAATGGCAACAGCCAAAACCACTAACGATGACTGGAGGACACCACTGCGTTACCCAAGAAATCCCATTTGCCATATGTTTTTGCTTTACAAAATATGGCGTTGGACGAGAAGTAGCGTAAAAGGAACACGCTTTATAAAGCCAAAAGAGCTCATAATTTTGAGATGGTGGATTAGAAGAATCTGCATCTCCCGCTAAAAATCTACAGAATCTACCGACTTTTAATCCGGATAACACAATTCACTATGAGCTGATACGAACGTGTTTCCAGAAGCTTAAAGGCCCACTTATCTTTGTGAACGTACGAATTTAAATCAATGCTTGCTGTCGCAATTGTGCTAGAAGTTGTTCTATGCAGGATTTGAATAAAAAAAATGTACAATACGAAAAAGCTCGCCTCCGCTGCGACTCACAGGCCGAATGCATCTCACGGATCGAATGGTAGAACCGGTACCACACGAGACCGAACACACACCGAAGTCGCCGACCTAGATTCTGTCAGTAAAACAAAGATAATTTAGGATTTAAGCGTCCTGTTTCCTTTCATTCTTTTCTTTTCTCCATTTCTCAGTGATTTGTGGTTTCCAATGAACATTACTGTATCCAAACACAAAAATTATAGAACAGGTTGATGCAATCGCAACATGAGTTCCGTCATCTAATCTTTTTTGTAAAGAAACGAAGTGGTGGTAGCAGATCGGCTTTTTCATAGGGATTGGGAAGAAATATGCAGGAATGGTTGAAATCTTGTCAAAGCAAGTCTTTCGACGACCGATGGTTTGCAGCTGCCCTGTGCTTGTATTCGGCCAAGGGTGCCATCTCCCTTCTCCATGTTGTAAATAATAGGATGATTTTCCCTTAACCTGATGGGATAGGTGAGCCCACAAGACTGCTTCTAATTTACTCTTTACTAGAATGATCCCATTCTTTTTTTGCGAGTTTTCCATGTACCTGCCACTGAGGCGGACAGGCGTGTTGGTTGCACTGTCGGACGAGTTGTGGTGGACGAGTTCGAGCGTCACAGTTCGACCACGGGACGGCGCGACCGCTGGCTGTCTCACGACAAAGTAACGCTGCTTTTTGCTTACCTGAAAGCATTGCATAATTTTCCTACCAAAGCACCAGGTTTTTGAAAAAGTAATAGGAAAAACGAAGTGGTCACGGTGAGTAAAACATCAACGGATGTAAAAATGTAGTTAATTGACAGGATGACCACCACGTTGGACATTTGTACTGCGGACCAGCTTAGGCTGCAAACAAGGCCATGTATTACCATTGCGACAAGGGTCATCGGCTCTAATAAAGACGAAGACGTGGAAACGTTAACAGAATAAACATCTCGTATCAATCTCGTGTAAGTTCAACAATACAAACATATTTTATTATGTTCAACATAGTATATTCACTGTGTTTCTTACATCTTCTAAATTCCTAGATTCCGAATTGTTTGCTGCATATCTTTTAGGTGTGTTGGTCGAGCGGCTTAGTCCTAAGGATCGCTGACGTCCTGGAGGAAGCTTGGAGTGAAGAGTAGTAGCTACGTTTTCAGCAATCTCGGAATCGCAGAGGAAGTGACGCTGGACCAGCATACAACACATTTAAACAGAAAGCTCTGGCGTTATAAATTGCAACAATGAACGCACGGTAAGCACTGGAGATTGTGCGACACTACACATACAACGTCGGATCAGATTTCTTACAATACGACCCTTACAAAAAGATTTTCTACAAGTTTCGTCTAATTAACGACACCTATTTCAGAACATACAGTATCCGCTGGACGACACTACTAGCAATCGGAAATCCGGTTACCTCTCTTCATTTATGTGGCATGAGATACCCTTAGCGTCGTCCTTTCGACTATACGTTATATAACGCTGAGTAACCCTTCATCCTCCTTATCTAGCGACTAGGTTTCTAACGCATAAATAAAAGCAGGAAGAGTCCTATGGCCTAAAAGTGGACCCGGAGCCGCATATTATTAGTCCTCTTCACTATGTCCTCGAAGCTTTCGAAAGCTCTCCATGCTGCTTGCTTCCTCCTGCTCAATTCTGGAGCTAAATCGTTCTTCATGCTCACTTCCCCTACCTAAGTATAGGTAGCTGGAACATTCAGAGATTTTCATTCCGTTGAGCTCGAATGGGGCATACAAATTCGTTAACACTGCTTATATGCGATTTAGTTGAGAACAAATCATTCCTTAAGTGTTGTCGAATTCAGCCAGCATTTATTCTGCTTTCGTATTGTTTAATGTTATAATAACGATATCATTAGTAAACGAGAATATAATTGGTAACCATCGATTTCAACCCATACTGACCCGCTCCAGTGTTCGCATGATGTTTTCGGAAGTGGATGTAAACCATTTTGGCGAGATGCCATCGACTTATCTATACCTTCTTTTGCGCCGATGTTAATATCATATCATAAAATGACAATATTCTTGCTGAAGAATTATATTTTTTATTCGTATATAACCACCAAAGACCTTCATGTAAGCCCTAACCCTACTTGCTAACATGCTTGCCCTTCGTTCGGCCTTCAGCTAATCCTGTTTGCGATGAGTCGAGTGAAAAGTTTGTAGACGATAGACAGTAGGCAGATTAGGCGATAGCTGTCAATATCATGGAGGTACCCTTTTTTAACAATAATGCGATCCTGCTGATTTTTCACCGAATAGGGACCTCTTTGCATTTTGGCAGGTGACATGTGAAGAGACGAGTCAGTTTGATGATAACGACTTGCGTAAAGTCCTTCGAGTGTTCATGTCTTGTCCTCTTTTGCAGGCTTTAGAAGTCTCAGCTTTTATAACGATATTGTGATGATATTGAATGAACTGGTCATATTCTTCTTCATTATTATCACTAACGACATTTGCCCTAGAGCTGGAAAAATGATCTGAATTATTCCCGGTTTATGGCAGTTTCGGAATTGCATTTTTAAACTTATTTTCTCTCCCTTTCGCGAAAAGTGGAATCTTGCGCGGACGAGGCGATAGTTTGATCCCGTGTAGAATCTTGGTAAAACAGTGACTTCGGTTAGGCAAAAATTTTGATTTGCAATTATGTGGTATATTTCGTTATCGCTGTCGACGCATGCAGCGTACTGGTCAGAGGCGACCTGCAGTACACATAGGATCGATCTCCGCGGTCGGCAAATCGGTATAAGACTTGTCTGGGAGGATAGCGGCACTGGCTTGATACATTAGTAGGCCACCATGAGGTCACTTTAAACGCTAGTTGTGCATTCAACCACCTCCAACGATGCCTAGTGAATTCGAATGCATGGTGCATTCCTCTTGGTGAGTTATCATGAAAGGTCTCAATACTTATAATAAACTTGGAAGATCACTCACCTTGCTCGTTGCGTGGGTCCTAATGTGACGTTCTTCAGATGTTCTTCTGGGTACAGTTAGTGTTAAAATCTCTAATGATGACCTTGAAAAATGTATGATCTTCTCTGTAGAACTTCTCCAAGTCCATATACAGAACGCTTCGACTTCGTCTATGTCATAGTTTGATGCCGGCGCTTAAACGACAAAGATTGTCAAAGCTGATGTTGAACCACATCTCTTCACTCGTAAACGTCCGACTCGGGTTGTTACTTGTTCGTAAGTATACTCGCGATCACGAGAAGACCGGCGATGCCGGCTCCTCTACTGTATCGTCTTCCGGGAAACATTTGTTCTTAGGTGTCATAGATGCCATACAATAGGTAGCATCTTCTCGTTCGATTGCCAGTCCGATTACGTCTTACCTCCTTGCCTGCGTGACCAAGTCTTCTATCAAGGATTCAGAGGCAACTGGCGGTGCATTGTAGGTACAGATCGTTATCTTAGACCATTGCGATTAGAGGCAACATAGAATGCCCCTGAGATTTCAGCAGCCTCTCCGCACTTAACCTATACAACACTGGCGTATCTGGGCTCTTTCGAGATTAGGTAGATAAGGCATTTAGCATAACATAACCACGTTGTTTCTTGATGAGCCCTGAACGTGGTGGCTGCATAGGCCTAGAGGTAGCTTGCTGGTCTTTACCAGAGTAGACGTAAAGCTTGCTTGCCGGAGACGAATCCCAGTCGCTGCATATATCCATAGCTTCTAGACCACATAATACTCTAGATGAGCCATACATTGAGAAGATGACATCCTGTCTGTACCTGGCGCGTTCAATAAACATGGATAGCGTCCATAGCTTCTAGACCACATAATACTCTAGATGAGCCATACATTGAGAAGATGACATCCTGTCTGTACCTGGCGCGTTCAATAAACATGGATAGCGACTTGAGAAAACTTAGTAAAAGACAGCGAACAGCGCGGACTACGTTGGGGGATCTGCACACCTAACTGAAGCAGAATCCCTTCCAGCACTGTGTTGTTAAACAGAGAGATTGTTCTGTATAATACTTACATTGAAGAATTAGTATGCAATACGCTAGAAATAAGCTGAAGTATTCACTTCACTCGCAGGTCAGCTGCATCTACAGCTCGAATCAATTTCCAAATTCTCAAGCAGATGTTGAATCCATATTCCAGTCCGACGACATTCTCACATGACACTCACTGACACATGACAAGTTACGTAGTGGTTGGACCAGCTTTTTATATAATTCAACCGTTACCATAAATTTACGACGTATTGTTTCAGAGTAAGATGAGGAAAAATCAAATGTAGTAAGTGCTAGTAGTGGAGGACAAGTAGTGCTTGAACTCGTACCTCCCAAGCAACTTTCCGAACACGGCCCCCAGTCACCGTTCTCCCATTTAAACGGAGCTTCCTCTTTACTGATCTTTGAGTCCTCCTGAAGTGGACACGGCCGAGCTTCACAAGATTCGAAGAGAGAGGGCTGCGATTGCTCTGAAATAACGGAAATGCGATTCTACTGTCTCTTAAGTTTAGATTTGTACAAAAATTTTGCGCAATGAAATAAGATTTGAAGATACCTTGACATTCTGAGTGTGGCAGACGAATCATACCCGCTATTGGATGAGCAGCTACACATTCAGCCGAACGCATCCTCACTCCCGGACCGCATGTGGTGGAACATTCGCTCCATGGGCTCAGCACGAATCTGAAGACGATTAACGACACTCGTGGTTCAAAGTGTATACTTGTCTCTCATCTGCTTTCGAGAAAAAAAATTTCGTTCTTTCCAGAACTTCCGATGATTTAACAACTAAGCTACGAGGCTTGGGTAACGTCATCGCATTTTTTTCAGTATTCCACAACGGCTAACGAATCTATGAGATTTAATCTCGTTTAGCAAACAAAAGACCACTATTTCCGCAATAAAGAGCAAAAAAGCACTTAATCAAAATTTAATCAGCAAAAAAAAAACATCGACACTCCCACAACGCCTATAGCCGAGCGCTACAGTTTTCGTTCTCGACAGCGATTGTATTTCATAAGGTAGATTTTTATACTGAATAATTCGCAAGAGCGTTAGCCTCCTTGAGCTGTTTTTGAAAACACCGGAGAGAAGAATTTTAAGAAATACACTTTTCTTTAAGCAAAACAATAGCGGAATCCGGGTCAATTGAGTGAGATCAAACCTCGGCGAATGACCGTTGCTTTCAACTGGATTATACGCCGACTCGTCCAAGAACTTCCGATCGCTCCAGTCGATACTGAATAGATTGCATAATATTTTCGGAAGAACTAACTTATCACTATGCGAAAGCTTCAGCCCAAGATGGTGAATATATCACAGAGAGTTTCTCGAATCTACAATTTTGATCATTCTTCATATTTCGATTTTCTTGACGCACAACGCTATCAGCTGCGCTGTTACTTGGTTGCATGCCGTGGCAGACTCTTCCGTATTCGATGAGGTTAAAGCAATGTTTTCATTCACTGCTCGAGGAAATCCGCACATAGAATTTTGTCCTTATAAGTGCTGCACCACTGCGAAACTAATACTATCTCTACGAGGTTGTTCAAAATCACAACTCTTTCTTCTCATTATGCGGGTAGAAGGATAGGTCGCGTTCATTAATCTGTTACAGAGGCGTCATGGCTTTGACTCCATTAAGCATCATGGAGATGACAGAGCGTATATTTGGTATATAAAGTATTTTTCTGAATTTAAAGATATGCCCATTGTTGTTTTTTATCCTCCTATGCAAGTTTTGCACCAATTTCCACACCTCGCAGTGATGCTGAGCTTGATTAACATGTGGTGTGGGATTGAGCTAATGTGCTTAATGTATGGCAAGTCTAGCTACTACGCTACAAGCGCCCTTTAGAAAGTAGCATGACAGCGAGAGATGCCCAATCACTACGCCTAAAATATTGATAATTAAAAGGGAACTATCATTTCTATTTTCTTCGAGTATGCGTTAAAGTCACGTCGATTTTAAACTTCGCAATGATGAAATCCGTACTATCTAATTAATGCTGCATGCCTATGTAGTTTTTTTTGTCTTTTATGTCCTTAATTTAATCCTAAAGGCTCAATACGCAAATTTTTCGCCATGCTGGGGTATGCATTAATACCAATGCATGCCGTCCCAAATGCACCCAAAAAGAGACTCTTTTCTTCATCTTTCCTTTACAATATCATATTCTACGTGCTTTGTTAGCCATTTCCAGGTTCATACGTATTTCTATGCATTTTTGTTATTTTCTATGCTTTGTTTGGATGTTAACTTCTGGTACCTATTGGGGAAGTGTTGCGAACTATCTAGCCTGGCTTTCACATCTTTTGCTTAAACATCTTAGAATATTTTCTATACCATCCCAGTCTTTACGATGACCGAAATTCATCATAACGACCAGAAAGAAAATAAACAACCAATTACTGGCCAAAAAATGGATTCCTAGGCTTTAACTATATCCAGGCAAGATGAAGTGGTTTTACTCGATGGCCCATCCGAAATGAACAAAAAGCTGAAGGGTCAGAAGAAAACATGGGACCAACTGAGTTCCTTGGTGTCGGTTTTAATCAGGAAAAAGCTTGAAAATAGTGCCTCATAACCCATGAAGCTTAGGTGATAGTCAACCTGTCGTAGGTTAACAGTTTCTGCCTCGATTCGCTGCAATATTACATCTCAAAGGGTTCGTTTGATTGATATTTGCGACCTTTTTCTGAAAGAAAGTAATAAACGCTATAATGTCACGGGTTAGGAATTATTGGAACTCATATTCTACTTATAGGTCCTATCTTCTTAGAACCACAGTTGGTTTTCTAGATAGGTAAGAAAGGCCGTTAACTCACCTTCACCTAGCTAATATTGCCATGCATGATGGACAACATCGTGTGATTGTGCAAGAGTATAGAAAGATAAAGAATATAGCTTTCCGGGTTGCTCATTCTCTGAGAGTGCGCCATGCATTCGACTTCATTAAGCATCGTTTGGAGGTGAATGAATGCATATCTGGCCTTTACTGACTCGACTCGAGTGACTTTAATGACTTGCGGCGGATTACCGATGTACTGAACCAGTGATACAATTGGTACCAGCCAAGTCTGGCACCAATTTGCCGACCTCGGAAGAACGGAGAGCTTGGTGGGCCATGGGCACGAGGATCGATCCCACTTGTGTGTTGCAGGGCGTCTCCGACCACTGCGCCACACGCTCCCTGTGCAAGAGTAGTTCATTTATTGATGTTGTCAAAAGAGCTACAAGAGAATCTACAAATGCGATAAAAAACGTCTTCATTGGCGAATCTTTGAAAGGACGTCGTATTCTCTCATTACGTCAGACAAAGCAATCAGAAGAACGGGATTAAGCTGATAAAATTGCGCGATGAAAGCAGCAGCAGAAAAAAACCACTATGTAAATCTATTAGGCATTCTCCACCATTGTAACTGTAGCTGAATCGGTGAAGACCAGGCTCATGAGCAATTTCTGAATAAAAAATAGCTATGAAGGATTCCCTGAGCAGCTTATTTAACAGATGATGAGGATAGTGGATTTGAAAATACTGCATAACTATCCCTCCCAACAGTTTACCGCCTCATCGTGGCTGCGAGGTGTTCCTGGGTGTCGGGCTGCGATATACAGCGAGTGGACCCATCTCCTGGTAGTCTCCCAAGCTGAGAAGGAGTTCAGCGTTTCCATGAGGAAGCCCAGCTAAGAGTAAGCCAATACTAGGATCTACTACCGTCTTGGTAACAAACTAGTCGTATGGTGGCAAACCTTCGTCTGATCCACAACGGCTGCGACTGTCTGTGGTGGTGAAGACCTGGGAAAGATTTTGGCCAGGTTGACATAGGAATTGCAGGGAACAATAGTGGCTTAGGAAGCAAATCTCAGAGAAATGGAGATTATGCTGAAGCCCGCACAACCAGTGAGGGACGGGCCGTTCAAGTAACAAGTATCAGGTAAGTATAACTATCAAGTAGGACGTAGTTTTACCTTTGCTCACAGTTTTAGTATATACGGTTGTACCCTCATCTGGTCATTGAGACCTTGCTTGTTGAACGCAGGAAGAATTTACTGTGAGGATTCCAAAGGACAGAATGTCCAAATGTACAAGCTCAATCAGACATGCAGAAAGGGAAACTCTATTAGCAGAAAACAGCCTCATTTTTTTTAGCTGCTAGAAGGAAATGCTAATACACCAGACTTAAAATTTGTTGCAAATTTTCCTTAGCAGTTCGGCCGTTCGATGGAATCGAGTCAGGAAACTTTTTTGCCGTTTCAATAACAACCACAGGAAGCGGAAATCGCAGAGATGACTGATAAATTCGTAAAATGTGTCTAAGTAGTGTAAATCATGAAATGAAGGATGTTAACTGTAAACTACAGAGTTTTCAGATCGTAACATAACGTTTTCCTTAGCGTAACAATTCTAACAACACAATTACTCACTGAATGTCCGGCCTGTTTACAATCAACAATTAATGTGATAAATTAAAGGACAAAGCTCTCGGCGTTGATCAATCCCTGAGAGATACCCTATGCATTCGACTTCATTAAGTATCGTTTGGAGGTGATTCAATGCGTATACGGCCTTTACAATGACTCGCCGTGGTCTACCGATGTATCCAGCCAGTGTTGCTATCCTTCCAGACAAGTCTCCTACCAATTTGTCAACCCCGGAGGGATGCAAGGCTTGGTGAGCATGGGCCGTGGGCGCGGGAATCGATTCCACCTGTGTGTTGCAGGGCAGCATTCCAGTGATATCGAGTATATAATTACCCTAAAATTATGTATATGCACACCATCTGAGTGGCTTACAACTTCAATACAATGAGAATATGTTTCTAACGGTCGGATCACGGTGTTCAACTTCACTAGAGATAATTCAGTATTCTTACCAACAGTAACAGTTTGTATCACACCGGTACATTTAGGACGGGAAGTGACGCAGGACCTACGAAGTCGATAAAAACTCGTCCCAGAAGCTCTTTTTCTAAATATTGATGTGTAGAGCACTTCTTCCACGACGTCTGGTGCAAAACCTTTTGCAGTTTTCAGTTCCGTAAAAAACCTTGGAAAAGAAACGCTTGGAATTAAGGATTCAAAAATCGTTGCACACATTTTTCACTATGCTTAGTGGACTTGGAAATATTTTCTTTCCTTGATTCCCTTCGCAGACTGATGATGAAGGCGGTTTATAGATGAATTTTTTTCCTCATTACAAGAGAAGAGGACAGCTGCACTTTCAGCTGTTCTCCAGGTGGTATCTTTTGAACTGTATACATGGTTCACGGTGTTTCGCAATACAAAGGTGGTCGTCGTTTAATCCTGTGCTCTAGGAAAATCATGCCTTCAATCCTTCTGTGATCTTGCCCATACCTGTGTAAAAGATAAAAGGATAAAGGTCTCAGCGTTGATTAAACCCTGAGGGATGCGCCATGCATCCGACTTTATTAGGCATCGTTTGGAGCTGACTGAATGCATATCTGGCCTTTACTTCCTAGTGGTCTACTGATGCATCGAACCACTGCTGCTATCCTCCTAGACAAGTCTGTTACCAATTTGCGACCCCGGAGGGATGGCAGGCTTGGTGGGCTATGGGCGCGGGGATCGATTCCACATGTGTGTTGCACGGCGCCTCCGACCATTGTGCCGCACACGCCGCAGCCTTGCGTAAGAGAAGAAATCACTGGCTTGATACAGGTCACAGGCCTTTCGCAAGTCATTCTACAAGCCAAATATACATTTAATCACATTTACGATGCTTGATGGAGTTGAAAACATTGCGCATAAGGGACTGAATAATACCTGACGTTTCATTCTCTATTTTTCATAATTGGTTATTTTAATTTCACTACACTTTTTTCTCTCACCTACCATTCGTAACGAGAAGTCCAAAAAGCGAAATGTTAGGGGTTTAAATGTCATCGGAAACGGAACATGTCGTCGAATTATGGGACAAGTACTTGCATGTACGCAGAGCGAGGGTGTCGTTTCGAATCGGAACACACATTCTTTGAAAAAGGAATTGCACCATTTGCTGGGGTAATGTAGTGAAAGACATGAATTACGATATGATCGTCGGGAAATGGCTAAATGGATCTCTGACGAGCTCGCGATTGCTAGAAGACGTTGATGTCTACAGTGTGATGCAACTGAACGACGAGATTGGACAGTTTCAGTTAGAATCCTCTCGATCTCACAGTCTTGTCCTTGCTGAGGACTACTGGAAAGACAAATTGCCACATGGAAATAGGCCT